AGCTAGGAAATGTATTGTCATTCCCATATTTCAAATGAGGAAACATACTTCCAAGGAAGTGAGTAACCCAGCGTGTAAGTTTCCGTGTCCGAATACACCGGGCCCCCTACTGTGCGAGCTGACACTTCACTTTCAGTGCAAGCTCTACTCATCCTTTAAGACCGAAGAGAAGTATGAAGCCTTCTCAGTTACCGGCCTCCTCCTTTCTCCCACCACTCCAAAGTAAACTTGCAGCCTGTCTTGGTCTCCTTTGCAACGCTCGCATCCCTGGTCCTGCCCTCTTCGCATCCCACTGTGTGTGTCAGCCCTGCGTCTCCTGAATCCTGCCATGTTCCTCTTTGACCATCCGTATTGACTAAAACACTCTGCGTGATTGTTGGATGGATGATTCGAATGGCCCTCTCTTCAGAGTCTTCACCACCACGGGTAGACTTGAAAGCTGTTTTTTGAAAATGTGCTTGAGAAGCAAACTCTTTCAAGACGAAGCAATAGTTGTTGAAAATTCAATTCTGTTTAATAATAAAGTTTAACATTTTTTCTTCCTTGTTTTTCTTATTTCTATCACTTGATATAGTTTGTATTCGCTGATGGTATGCCTAATAAAATTTAAGTATATCTGCACTGTGCATATGTGTGTGTGTGTGTGTGTGTGTGTGTGTGAGAGAGAGAGAGAGAGAGAGAGAGAGCGCACAAGCAGTGATATGACTGGATGATGGATAGTCAGTAAGAGAAAGAGAAGTATTGTTTTAGAAATGAAAGGAACCTTAGAGTAATCTAATCTAAATTCCATTCCCCCCCCACCCCCACCCCAGTCTACCCCACTCCTTAGGTCTGTTTTCAGAGATAAGAAAACTCAGCTGCAGGGAGGTGAAAGTATTACCTGAACTAGAAGTGGACTCCGTACCTCGGGTCTAGTGCAGGTTTTTCCAGCCTTAGCTCTGTTTACGTTACAGACTAGATAATTTTTTCTTGTGGGCTCTCCTATGCATTGCAGTGTGTTTAGTAGCAACTCCGGTCTCTACCTGCTAGATGTAAGTAGCACGTACCCAGTCGTGACAGACAAAAATGTCTCCAGACATTGCCAAGTGTCCCTGGTTGACAATATTACTCCAGGTTGAGAACCACTAGCTTCGTGTATTTTCCATTGCCATAACACATCTCCACTCAAAATTCACAGTTTGAATGAGTGCTCAAGTTGCCAAGGCAAACAAAATTAGTATTAATGGTAAGCTGGATGCAAATACAAAATCAATGCTAGTGTTTAAAAAAAAAATCAAGTTAGCAATTTTTATTGCTGATTTTAGTGCCAGTTGCCCTGAATAAAGATGAGTCTTTACACATCTTACGGTCATTGTGTTGCTAACCACTCCACGCCTCCTTTTAAAACTCAGTGCTCTCTTGGATCCCACAACACTGAACCTCCTTTTTCCTTCAGTTTCCGTGGCCATTTCTATTCATTCCTCGTCACTTCTTCCTCCAAGCTCTAGTATTTTCCATTCCATACTATTTCCCTTGGAACATGTGAATGGCCCCTATGCCTTTAATGGTCGTATTTCCACATATGACTTTCAAATGGACTCCGTAAGTGCGTTTTTATTTCTCATTCAAGAACTGTATTCCCAAATGCCTCCTAAATATAAACAGATCAAATAGGAACTACAAACTCAAATTCCTTTGCTCATTCCTGTCCACTAGCTGCAAATGCCACCCAAAACCACTGGGTTGCCCATGTCTTTTACTCTCCTCATGGCACCATCGTCCTTGGTATTTGCAGGAACTTGGCATCACCTATGAATTCTCTCCTTTCCTCTCCACCCACAAGTCTGTAGCCTATTGACTCTACTGAGGACAGGAACTCTGTCTTTTGCATTAATTTGCCTTTCAGATTTTGTTCAATCTCTTACATATAGAAAAATCTCAATACGTATTGAACAAATACAGTTTGAGACATGTGGTTACTAGAAGTAAGTCTAGGCTATGCTACTCCCCTTCGTTCCCATTTATGGAGTATAACTAAGCCCTTTCCATCCTCCTATCATACTACAGAGGCGGATGTGTTTCTCACTGAAGTCTCCCATGTTAACCAAAAAATATGTTTTCACAAAATAAAATTTCTTAGTGCTTCCAAAGTGCTAGTTGCCTTACACAGATTTCTATGAATGAAAAATAATTAACTTTGAGGCTTTTAAAATTACCTTCTATGCACCCATGTTTTTCATGCTCACTTATCTAAAGCTATTTTTTTGTGAATTCATTTGCGGCAGTAGGCTTCTATAAAGAATGAATGATACGATCGGCAATATAGTTTTAAAAATACCATTAAGTATTCAAAGCTTCAGTCCACAATATGGCCATAATTAAAAGAAGGCAAATGGCAAACATTCCAGACTGTTGCTGTTTAGGAGATTTTTCTTTCAAAACGGTAATGTGATAGTAATTTAAATTTCCGAATTGGGTCAGTAGGGATGGGTGTGAGAAGCAAGATGGAAGGGAGTGAATGTAGAAGGGGTTGTAAAAAGACTCCCCCATGGAACAGCTTGAAGAAAAAAAATATTTCTGGTAGCACATTTGAAATAATACTCTAGAGAAGAATCTTTAGCTTTTAGGGAATGAGAGTCCTATATTTAGAGCTCTTCATCCAAAAATTCCAAACACCCAGATTAATATAAATTGTACACTTTCCATAAGAGTTGATATGCATTCTCTTATGAGAACGCTTCCATTATGAGTATGATATGCATCTTTAAATCCATTTTGGGGTAAAATAAACTATATCCTCACATTTTAACTTACCGATTTCTTGATTGAATGGCTTTCAGTACGGTCTTGTAGGCTGACTAAAATATATGAGCACATTGAAGTATGATTTAGGAATTACTACTAGAACTGAAGAGTATTATTTAATGCCTATGAATTAAAAAGCATGGCCTATTAAATCGTTTCTTGCCATTTGACAAGGAAGATCCTATGGCTACCTTTTAAAACTCAAAATTAAAAGAAATACTTATTTCTTAACCTACCAACTTCTGGTTTCATCCAGTTTTATTTGAAATAGTTCTAGTTTGTTTTCGCATTCATTATTTAATGAAGCTTAGTTAGAAGGTTAACACTGAAAAACCGTAGAAAGAGGATGGTGGCTGGAAAAAGGCAAGGTTTATATTCTCTCTCTCACTCTGTCTCTCTCTAGTTCTCTGGAAAGTTAGGCTGTCACTAAGAAACACTGACAGTAGTTCTTTTCAGGATCTGATGATGTGCCAAGGTGAAGCCAGACCTTTTCTAATAGTGGATTTTAATTTTAAATGAGAAGGCATTTGGAAATGTTGAAGGCATATTCACCCACAAGTCCTAACAAGCCAAGCTTACTCTGTCACAGACAAATCCTCAAATTATAGACTGCCATGGAAGAAGGTAGGAAACTAACAGTCCATGAGCAGGGGAGGCATGTGACCACACCAAAAGCGTGAACAAAGTGGATTTTGCTACCTGTTTGGGCTGGGCAAATATTATGATTCATTATGAGTTTATAGTTCTAGTCTAAATATTCTAAAAGTTTAAGATGGGAAAATAAGGTGCATTCTTTTCATTCTGTAACCTATCTCATTTTACCTGGGCTCATTTTGATTTTTTGATTTGCTTCATTGTTATTCACGAGAGCCATTTTATCCCTGAGAATTGCCAATTGACTTTGCAGAATTGGCCTGGTCAGCCAATCACCGAATCCCAGCCTCCTTCTAGATGAGCCCCTCGGTGTAGTTGTGAGGAAGCAAGGTCAGAGGAAACCATGTGAAATAAGGACATTTCCTACTGCTGGCATTCCTCTTGATGGTTGGGCAAGCACTTCTGAGTGCCTCGGGGCCCATGGCATTTAGTGATACCCCCATTCGGATGAGGATCCTCGACCTCTCCCACGCACAGTGCCCCAATATTGTGTAAGGACGTAGGCTTGGCCCTGACTCACAGAGTAGAGGTGATTTGTATCCTGTGAGTCACCTGCGCCACTTCCTGCTGGCACATTTGAGATTTCATTGAAACACAATCTCTGAAAGGTGAAGGCAGAGAGATGAAGAGGTGTGCTTCAAATTCCTAAAACTCGTTTGGAGATTTGACAGAAATAATGGCCTCTAAAGGAATTTTGAGTTTTATAGCATTATTGAAACAGAGTCCCAAAAGCCAATTTTGAGTTTACAGATCATCTACCCCATACCATCTTGCACACAATTCCTCTATACTTTATTCATTTATTTTTGAAAGATTTTATTTATTTATTTGTCAGAGAGAGAGAGAGCGTGGGCAAACAAGCAGGGGGAGCGGCAGGCGGAGGGAGAAGCAGGCTTCCCGCAGAGCAGGGAGCCCGATGCGGGGCTCGATCTCAGGACCCTGGGATCATGACTTGAGCCGAAGGCAGATGCTTAACTGACTGAGGCACCCAGGCCTTGGGGTACTTTAGTTACCAACGTAAAGTTTGCCACCAGGTCGGTTTTCTGACACATTGACGCTATCCCAAATCCTTAATTAATATCATAGTGAATTATTTTCTTAGCAGGGACCCATGGCCAAGGATCAAAAACTCAGAGATAGTATTTACAATTGAATCATAGACCATCATTGTTAAGTAACACTAAATCATGAAAAAAAAAAACCCTGTAAGATTAAGGAAATATATGTATAGGACTTTAGCATCCCTTCCTTCCCTGTATGATTTTAAAATAGTGAGTAGTGATTCTTAAGGGTGACAGGGTGGTGGATATCAGAATTCTCCATGGGTTGACTTTTTCAATATTTTGATCAGCTTCACCTACTGTTCTGCTTGAGTTTGCAAGGGTGTGGGGCAGACATGAAGTTGACGGAAGCAAGCTTTAAAATCACTCCTTTAAAGCACTAGAGCTGTGTGGAGGGACAGGAGATTTAGCAACAATTTTGCTATTTTATTGGCTGTGTACTGCAGCCTTTCATTTGAGAATATTTAAAATTATTTACAATTTCATCTGTAGGAGACCCGGATGTTGAATTCATGCGGTGAGTCTCATAGAAACCATCCCTGAGCCATGGACTATGTCCAAGGGAGCGTCACAGGTTAGGAGAGCCCAGTTTTTGTGGAGGCACACCCTGCACTGAACATTCTTTAATTCACAAAGACAAATATTTCACCTGTGGCCTGACCAGGTGGAACCAGTGGAAAAACTAACAACTACTAAAAACCTTAAGGAAAAAAAAAAAAAGACTAAGGAGCAACATCCGAAAACAATTAGCTGAATTCTGTAATAGTCTTAGGTTGCTGTTGTAAACAGATCCAAACAGGAAAGGCTAGTCTTTGATTTCCACAAAAGATAGAGAAACGAGCCTCAAATGTATGTTTGCACGGTGGCCCGGGCTGTGGGAAGAATTTCTTGGTGGGAGAATTGGGAACGTTTCTGCCAAAGCCTTTCTCAGTTGAGGAAGCTTGGAGGCATAGGAGTGTCAAGGATGTAAAAACACACATCTAGAGCAACGGTTTGTGTTGAGTGGACTGTGTACGCTAAAGGGTTTAATTCTTTGATAGAAAAAGTGCATGGCAGAATTAAATTGAAAAGGAGAACAAAATTGGCTTGTATGAGAAGCTAGCCCACTCCCCACAAAACGCTACGTAGACAAAGTTATCTTTTTCTATCTCTGTTTGAATGACAGTGAAATCCGAACTTTAGCCATTTTTTGTTGTCATTTAAGAAAGATGATTTATGTTTCCTTTAAGACCAATGGAAGCAGTATTTATATTGTAGGAGAAGTATGGGGTGGGAAGGAGATAGTTCTAAATTTTCCAAACAGTATTGTCAAATCATTGAAAGATTATGCGTCTTGCTGAACAGAGAGAGATTCCTAACTCTTATTTTTAAGGCCACTAACTATATACTCGGTCTTGGACATTTAATTTAACTGCACTGAGGTTGTTTGGAGCTAGTAACTACTTAATAGGATTGTTCCAAGGGTCGAGTTTGAAACATTAGGAAACATTATATGAAACATTATAAGCTATGATCCTGATGTGTAATTTCCTTTTTAGCACCTCAATGATATGCAATATACTTAACATATACACGTCTCCTCTGATTGAGAAAAAGTAAAATAAAATCCTTTCTTATGTGGATTAAATAAAATACCCAATTACAAAGAGACTTGTAATCTTGTTATAGACCAGTAGAGGGCACTACCCACATATGGTGCTAAAACTAGAGGCCAGATCAAGAGTAGCATGGAATATTTGCGGGAGTCTCTAGTGCGCTAGGCATTTTGGAAAAATATCATTTCATTTAATTCACCCCCAAACTCCGTGAAGCAGAGGAAACTAAGATCCGGAGAAGCTAATCAATTTTTCCCAAATCACATAACTCAGGCTTTCTCCCGGGATTGCCTTTCCATCATACTTTGTTGTCTCCCTATGGGATTAAAGGCCCTGCTTCAATTATATTTGCCCTGATTTGTCTGCGTGGTGGTCACTATCTCCTAGTGTCATTGCCTGTTTCCAAGTTCTATAATGTGGCCCATTAACAACATTGCTCTGCACTCTTGGGAAAGTTACTTAAACTCTCTGTCTCAGTTTTCTCTCATGTCTAGCGGGGATAACAGTAGTATCTTCTTCAAAGAGTCACCGAGGGGATGGAATGAGATAATACAGATAAAGACGATAAGAACCACGCCTGCATATAGTCCACGTTCGAGAAGTGTTAACTGCTGCCAGTCATTGCAACTAATGGTCTCACCGCCCTTCGTATTGACTATGTAACAGTTACTCATATCGACTAGAAAGAAGGGTGAAGTGCAAACGCCCAACTCCTCAACAGAAGCAGCTAAATCCTCTTCAGGTGCAATTAAAAAGATTCTTCTTAGGCTTTCTATGCAATTCAGAAACTACTTGAGTCATTCTGGAGGCTGTTTTCCCAACATTTGTCTTTCAAGTGGTAAACACACAATAAAAAAACCTCAGACTTTTACTGGGCTGACGGAAACTGGCTTCTGGGGCTCCATGGTTCATGTAGGATGGACGTTCATTCCCATATTAGATAAGATATGTTCTGACTTTCCTTAGATTACATTTTACTAATCAAAATCTACTTTTGCGCATAATACAATGCAAAGAGTAATGTAGGCACTTAAATCAACAAGGAACATATCTAAGGTTGAGAGTCTTGTTTTGTTGTCACCGGCAATAGAACCTGAGTTTTATTGAAGCCTTCTTTTGTGATAGGTTCTACCTTGGAGCATTGCTCCGAACACATCGTGGGGCAAAATAATGAAAATCCTACAGTTTCGATTGCTAAGCTTCTTAGGAAATCAAACTTCACAGTCAGGTCTTTGACATGTAGAGCTGGTCAGACCTGTAACCAGGAATGTCATGCCAAGGTTTTCACCCTTGGACAGGGAGGTGGGGGCTCATTTATTTTCAGTTATGTGCCTGTTTTCACGAATTAGTTTCTCTTGTGGTTTTGATGGATCGAATTTGAATTCTTGAAATAATTAAAACAACCCTATAGTACTGTGGTTATGTGGAAATCTGATCAAGGTTTCTTTCCTTGAAGCACTGCTTATATATTTGTTTCCTCCCCACCCCCGCCATAAATAGGTCTCCATCTCCTCCAAGCAGTTCTGGGCACCACTGTGATTCCTTCCTGCATCCCGGGAGAATCCGAAGATAACTGCACAGCGTTAGGTAAGCCCAGCTTTGCCAACGTGACACCAGGGCATCACGTGTTCATAAGAGGAATGTACTCAGAGGACGGATATATGACAGTGTAGAGGAAAGGGGGCCGATAGCTGCTATGTTAGAATCATTTTTTTAACACCCTTACAAACTAGTGGTCTGGAAAAATTATATAAAAGGATCACTAGTGGGAGAGGGACAAGGCATCTAGTTATATAGAAAGATTGGATCTTAAAGTGATAGGAAACAATGAAAATCAGATTCTGACTTCATTTGGCTTTGCTGTAAAACCGTTGTTAGAGGTTGGATCCCAGGCAAAACAGGAAAATTTAAACTTTGTGCACAGTAGATAATCAATACATTTTGTTATTTTTTGTGAAAGGAATAAATGATGTCCTTTCTTCCTAGTTACAACCTTCATTCAGAAATAGTTATGGAGTACTTAATACATGTCAAATGCCGTGCGTAGGCATGGAATACAAAAGAGAGGTGATGCATAGTCTGTTTCCCTCAGGGACCCCTGAGGGCTCTGGATGTGGTTCAGGAGAGATCTGCTTTAGATTCAGTCTGAGTATTGAGTCAGGGCTTATCCTGAGGAACTAGCGTATTTCCAAAACGATGTCGCCTTCTCTCTTGTCCTCCTTTGTGTTATGACTCCACTATTTAGGGTTTTCTTTTTGAGTTTTATTTAAATTCCAGTTAGTTAACATACAATGTAATATTAATTTCAGGTGTACACTACAGTGATTCAGCACTTCATACATCACGCAGTGCTCATCACAAGTGCCCTCCTCAATCCCCAACATCTAGTTCACCCATCCTCCTGCCATCTCCCCTCTGGTAACCATCAATTTGTTCTCTATAGTTATGAGTCTGTCTTGGTTTGCCTCTCTCTCTCTCTCTCTCTGTTTTTTCCCTTTGCTCATTGGTTTTGTTTCTTAAATTCCACATATGAGTGAAATCATATGGTATTTGTCTTTCTTTGGCTTATTTCATTTAGCATAATACTCTCTAGCTCCATCCACATCATTACAAATGGCAAGATTTCATTCCATTATATACATACATATATATATATATGTATATACCACTTCTTTATCCATTCATCAGTTGGTGGATACTTGGTCTGTTTCCATAGTTTGGCTATTGTAGATCATGCTGCTATAAACATCGGGGTGTAGGTAACCCCTCAAATTAGTATTTTTGTTCTCTTGTCCTCCTTCATCATTGGGTTCTCTAGAAGTTTGATCTGCCTCCCACTTTTTGTTGTTGTTGTTGTTGTTTTGTTTGTTTGTTGGAGCAGAAATATTACAATCAAGATACTATTGTTCGATTATTTCATAAGCATCCTTCACATTTTAGTAACTAAATCATCCTAAAGTGAATTTTATTTATAGGTTGCAACACTATTTCTAATGAGGCTCCTATTTCATTGTTGTATTTGTCTAACCCAGGCATCTGTAAGTCAAGATTTGTCTAGTTTAGTTCTCATGGTTACAGATGTTGGGGAGGCTTTGATTGATTTCTTTGACGGTAGCCTCAAAAATTTGGGAATGCGCACCAGAACATGCTTCCTGGCTTAAAACCATTGTAGAATTTTGCTCTCTTGAATTAATTAATAGATTCAGTTTGCAATTCCTTTGGAATAATGAACTGCAGAATTATTTTGAGATTTGAAAAAAAGGCAAACTTGGGGTAAGTGAATAACTGTAGAGGATAATGATTTTTGTGTCTTAAACTTGCCTTTTCTATCCTTCAGGATTCTCATATGTGAATTAAAGCCCCAGGTCTTATTTTGTTTGTCTAGTCTGTTGGACATTTTCCTTAGGGGGTCAAATGTTTGTTTATTGGTATAGAGAATATGATAACTAGAGGGACTTCCTAGTTCTAAAAATTCTCCTCGACTGATTGGCACCTGACCTGCTTTGCTACAGTAGCTCAATGTTTATTATAGGAAAGGGTGATTAATGTGTTAAAGAAAGCAGCAGAATATATCCAACTTTCCGTTCCCTTCACAGTTCAGATAGAAGACAACCCACGTGTGGCTCAAGTGTCAATAACCAAGTGTAGCTCTGACATGAACGGCTACTGTTTGCATGGACAGTGCATCTACCTGGTGGACATGAGTCAAAATTACTGCAGGTAATATGCCAAAAACAAAAACCAGTGTTTTTTTTTTTTAACTTATATTCTCTATTTTTTTTTTTATTTTTTGAAGTTGACCTATATTTCCATGGGCTATTGTTTATACATACTATTAGCATGCAGTTATACATGCTATCAGGAACTTTATTAAGTGAGTTTTTTAGAGTTAGGGAACAAAGAGTAGCTCTCAAATCATACAGATACTTCAGGGGTGCAGAGTGGGGAGGGCGTCGATGCTTCCTTCTCATACTTGTCATGATGGTGGTTCCACTGGGCCTCTACATCAGCCCCTGTTTTATGAGTTAATTACACTGATTTTGACAAAAAGCACCTCAAACCTACAAAACTTAAAAACAGCATTGGAGATTGTCAGCCGCCCTGGCAGGTGAGCCAGCCTGTCCCTTTACCACCAGGGTTGAGCTGAGAGCTGAGAACTCTCTTTATCAATGTTGGCCCTGCTCTAACGTCAGTCTTTGAATTCCTCTTTACAACTTTTGGCAAACCTTGTTGATTTCTTACATTACAGTGTGAGATGAGTTCTTAAGCAACTGATTCATAACAATAATTTCTTTTTTGAAGTAACTGATCTTTTTCTCGTATTTTCCTTTAGGTGTGAAGTGGGGTACACTGGTGTCCGATGCGAGCACTTCTTTTTAACCGTCCAACAGCCCTTGAGCAAAGAATATGTGGCTTTGACTGTGATTCTCATTATCTTGTTTCTTGTCATAGTCGCTGGTTCCATATACTACTTCTGCAGATGGTAAGCCAGTGTTTTTTAACCCTGCTTCTACAAATTATTTTTATACAATACAGACTTATAAACTGGGTAGAACTATGGACCAAGTATTATTTCGAGGGATAAGGTGGATTCTGTAATGATGGTACTTACAAAGAAGTTTCAGTGGTGGGACATACGGATTTGACTCTACTATTAGCTCTGCTATTTCTTTTTCTTTCTTTCTTTCTTTCTTTCTTTCTTCTTTCTTTCTTTCTTTCTTTCTTTCTTTCTTTCTTTCTTTCTTTC